GAGTTACACTAGTTTTTCCTCTTTATTTGCTTGCCGATATCTTCTGGATAGTCCTCTATTTGTCGAGTGAAAGTATATTTTAAAAACTCTGATTTGTTTACATTTAATTGAAACATTTAATTTTCAGTTTGTTTGTATTTTTATTTTTTAATTTTTTTTTTGTAGCCCAGTGATAAAAAAAAAGAAACAAAAAAATGTTACATAAAATTAGAAATCATCTGTTAAAGGCGTTCACTAACCCTCTCCATCATTCTCAGATGGTGTGGTGGGCCAAATCAAAGGTTGGAATGGGCCAACTTTGGACAGAAGACCCTAGTTTGGGCATCTCTTAAACAAATATTTCATGCACAATATTATGTTTTATTCAAATTCAATATCATTTTAAGACTGTTGAACACGAGATATTAAAAAGTATAACAGTTGTTTTAGACCCCACCAACTTTCACTGTATGGACTAAAAGTCAGAATAATTTTTACGATGTGTTCTTGTGTTCACTATAAAACAACTGACAAAGTGAGCTGAAAATGAACAGAATTTCAATTGTTCTCTTCACACTTGTTTTTCATTTACCTGACGCTTTTTAGAATGTCAGATAGCATTCGTTCATTCATTACTGCACATTAACTGATGAACACGCTTGATCAGACGCAGGATAAGATTATCCCTGCTGTTTAACCCTGCAATGCATCATTTCCTGCAGCTAGTGAATTACTCTGGGAGTCGCTTCACTGCTGCTGTCAATCGCAATCACTGGCTGAGCACAAACAGGACAAACTGTCAGGAAAAGATGGCTAATCAGCGCTGCAACTGACAACTTCTGCTGAACCAGAAACTCACTGTCCTTCACTACATAAGCTCTGATATCACTCCTCATAAACCTTGATATCAGCTGATGGGCCAAATGCACTCTAGTACACAACACCTCAGATTACCACACTAAAACAGAGCAATTTCTCAAAACATAAAGATTAGAGTGTGGTATGAACATACAATTTGTTATAAGTTTTGTTTTTGAAAATCTCTTGCACTCATCAAGGCAAGTAAAAATTAAATTAAAAAGAAAAAAATAATAATTCAATAGCAATAATGGCTGTTTTTAAAAAATGTAAATACTAAAGCACTATTAAACGCTTTGATCAATAAATGCAGCCTTGAAGAGCATAAATCATCCTAGACTTTTATATAAAGCATGCTGTGCAAAATCAATTTCACAATATCTGTCGGAAATAAATTGAGTGTACATTCCATTAGCTACAACTGATGAACCTAGTCAGATGAGCCACAAAACATCTGCAAATAATAAAACACGGATCAAGTCTAATTGAATGCAATCGCATTAAGCAAATTAAAGTACCTTGTCAAGACGGCAATTATCAAATAATAAATAAAGCTGTAGTCAATGAAGCTGTATAAATCTGTAAATAAAGATTAAAAGTAAACAATATATTATCTATCATTGTGATAATAGTATGACAAATACTGATCATTTCATTAGTAAACAAAGCAAATATCTCATCAATTATAAGGTTTTATCTGCGTTCTAAATGATTTGGAGATATTAAGCTTAAAAGTTTTTGCATTCCATAGCAAACAGAATGTGTGTAACAGTTGTTGTTTTTTTTTTTTATTAAACATCTTAAAACGTAAACGTATAATGAGTTGTCATTTAATAAGAATGTTAATTACTTAATTTTGACAAAAATTTCAGATAGAACCTTATAATTCTAAGGTGACGATCTGTCATGAAATGTACAAATTGATCTATAAATTAAGAAAAGCAAAATGTGAACAATTATAGGATTCAAGATTATCCGATTAGACAAGGTGTTGCTCATTATTGTTCTGACTGTAATCTATATCACAGAAGAGAGCCAGCTAGAAAACGAACATCACACTGATCATGACTGAGACCAGTATAACAAACTCAAACTAAACATGAGGAATGAAATAATGAATGAGATTAAGCAACACTGCCTTTAAAACAGCCGTTGAGAGTCTTGATTAGCACTAGTAATACATCTGAAGGGTTGGTCACAGACCATATCATTCCAATATATAGAATTATTGTTACAAAAAAGAAATTGTTACAGTATGATAAAAATTCAGCTTATTTTAATGCCATCATGCAAGACGCATATGCTCAAACACAGTAACTACACATTAGTCAAATTTGAAATTGGCCTTTTTAAGACCATGATCTGCATTTGACAGGCAGGTTTGCATAAAGGGATAGTGCACTCAAATTTCATTTGCTTACTCCCAGGGCCATTTATATCGAAGTTGATGTTTAGCCTTGGTGATGGTTGGCGTTTCATAACATCTAATTTTTTACAAGGTAGGTTGTTAGGCCAGCGCTCAACACCCAACCTGGAGGACCAGGACATACACTACGGACAATTTAGCTTACCCAATTCTCCTATAATGCATGTCTTTGGACTAGTGGGGGAAACCAGAGCACCCAAAGGAAACCCACACAAACATGTGAAAACATGCAAACTCCACACAGAAATTCCAACTGATCCAGCCAGGGCTCGAACCAGTGACCTTCTTGCTGTGAGATGACAGCGCTGCCCACTTTGCCACCTTGTCAAGCCCAAATTGTTCCAAACAAGTTAGATTTTTTTTTCTGTTGAATACAAAAAAGATACTCAAAGAATATGTGAAACCGGTAACCATTGACATCCATAGTAGGAAAATACTACATTCCTACCATAATTCTTCACATTTTACCATATATACATTTGTTTATGTTCAGAACAAGTCAGATGTGATTAAATGACAGAACTATGGGTTAACTATGCCTATACATTGTTACTAAAAGCAGTCAAAAGCAGGGTTTTGCCTTTGTGAGGCAGCATTGTGTTGACATGGTAAAAGATAAAAATGGAAGCATGTACACATCTTATTCACATTTTGTTAATGCTACACAGAAATATTCTGCACTTTGGGAAACTGCATTAACATTTAAGCTCTCCTCATTTTCGTTTGGTGCAGGAGCTGCACACCAGAGTGGAATGAATAGATTACGGTCCAAAGGTCATTTGTGCTGCAGTTTCTCTCTTGGGGAATTCTCTGTACCATCTGAAGCTAGACCTTAATTCCCATGCACTCAACAAAGTCTATGTTACTACAGTGTTGCTATCTCAAAAACAGTCCAGGTTCACTAAAGACAACAGTGGAGAAAAAAATATACAGCAAAAAATTCCATGGACAGTTATCTGGTGTTTTGCATCCGGGTCAAAGACGAAAAAAAAAGCATGTTAACTCTTTATCACAGGAAGAACCATATACGACATAACATTTCAAAAGTCTAAGTCAAAGTTTAGTTCCAACCCCAATCAGACACAACTGTGCTAGCTAATCAAGCCCTTAAGCTGCGGTCACACTGCACTTTTTTCCCCATAGACTTCCATTCATACACATGCAAATGCCTCACACCGGAAGCGCAAGCTCGGGTGACCAGTTGCGCAGTTCCCTGCGTTGGAAAGTTCAAGCTTGGTGAACTATGACCAGTGAATCTGAATTACATGATTGCATAAGACCAATCGAAGATCAAAACATGACCCCTCTAGACCGAAATGTAAAACATGGACCAATCGCTCGCTCTTTAAATGTCTAACCATCTTGTTTAACCCCACCCATCGCAGCACCGTACTACAGAACTTCGCATGCACAAACTCTAGTGTGACCACAGCATTACAAGTAGGCTTTCTAGAAACATCCTTGCAGGTGTGTGGAGGCAAGTTGGAGTTAAAATCTACAAGACACCGGCCCTCCAAAACCAAGTTTGGACACCCCTGTTTTAGACACTTTTATACACAGGTGTCAAACTTAATTCCTGGAGAGCCACAGTTTAGATCCAACCCTAATTAAACACACCTGATCAAACTAATTTGTCCTTCAGGCTTGTTTATGTGATTCCAAAAATCGCAATCTTATGCACTACTCTATGCCATATTTTTGTGTAGAGTGCAAGTAGTGCATTCACACTGAAAACTCTGAAAAGAATAAGTGAACTTTAAATACCCGGATGATGCACTTATTCAACCAATTAAATGGAGCATGTTACTGTATGTTGGACACTTCACGCATTCAATGGCCGTAGTTTTGCTTACGTGCCGGAATGGGCGGAGCTTTCGGGCACTGATGTTGGATTACTTTATTTATTTATTTTGGATTGTGAAAGAACAATCCTCTGATGAAAGTGATTATAGTGCCTCCCGATGGTAAATGCGGTTATACTCATGGCAGATATTATTTGGTAGCTTGATCATTTAATTTATTAATTTGGCAAACGTTACCTAGGAAACGGTTTGAATTTTCGCTTAAAAACATTAGTGTTCCATTTGGGACGACACTACATACATATACTATGCTGTTGAGTGTGCAAGTGCATGAGTACAGAACATAGTGGGTAAGAGCACAGTGTACTGTACTGTATAGTGTGCCATTTGGGACACAGCTTATGAAACCTACAGGTAAGTGTGCTGGACCAGGGTTGGAACTAAACTGTGCAGAGCTGCAGCCATTGAGTTATGGGGGTTACATAAATAAATAAATCTGTTATGAATGATGAGACCATCTCTTTTTTCATTTTTTTTGGGGCATTTAATAAGCTGTCGGTCAGTACTGTATATTGACTACTGTATAATTGTTTTATGTAAATAAAACAATGGGGTGCCTCGTCTTTGACTCATATGCATTTGTAGGAGCAAGAGAGGATTTAAATTGATCATGCAATATTATTTACTAAACATTTACAGCCAAATTACTTGTATTTGTGCTATTGTTTAACATCTTTAAGAGCTTATCTAACCAATTTTGTGCTTGACATGACTGTGACAACTGCTAGAGAAGGATGAAGGCAGAAAACAAAACAAACACAGTAGAGGGGAGAATTTCCTCCACTCATGGTCATTAATGTGGAATGTCGTATGATGACATTATCTAAATATATTCATTTCAAAGTATAATTAAATGCTGTTATTTAATGTTTGCATATTTCCCATCTGCACTTTTATGGGTCGGTGCTCTCGTGTTAATTCCTCCATTTAATAAATCTGGCCTTAGAACACTGCAACTGGCATTTGCATACATCTCTTTAAAATATATTACTATATATAAATTTCAACTAGCTCTGTTTAAAAGTTTTAAAACAAGGCCCCTGCAAAAGTTTGCAAAAGCACAGGGTGACATTGTCCAACTATGGGACTGAAGCCAGTCTTTTGCACCTGGGCTAAAAACAGCATTGTACACTTTCTTCAGAAACACAGTAGCTTTCTTCTCTTTTCTAACCCCCCAGTGCCGAACGTACTCCAGGGACGTGCTGACTCAGGCACCCAAAACAGTTAAGACGACATGATGAACCAGCCTGGATGATTCTGACCCATCTGAATCATTGCACCAATGCAGCATTTCTGCCAAAGTGACTGAAAGCAAACACTCAGGTCCAAATCATGCAACACTGGTTCAACGCAGTCTTATAATCTCCTGCATTCCGCTGGTGGTTTAACAAAAAGTGCTTCTTTCTACTGAATGTTATACAAAAAAAAAAACACTGATCATTGCAGATTATTCAGCCGATTCGAACCGCAAAGCAGCAGACCATCTCACAAAGCTCCTTTTTCATTCCCACAGAGTAAGTCAGGATGTGCCCTGCGTGTCAACACATCTTCTCGTGTTGAAGACCAAAGCCTCATCAATACTTATTAATCCCGAAAAGACGGACCCCGTGAAACTGAGGAAGTTTGGGGATAAGCACAGTGAGCAGGGAAATGGTGTTGATGACGAAGTGGACCCTGTCATACTTTGTATAGAAACTGGTCAGGAAATACCTGTAGAGGAGAAAAACAAGGACAAGATCAAGTCCGGCGTCAGATAGCAACATGAGATGCACAGAAGCAAAGGCTACAGAACCTGTTCAAGCAGACACAGCACAGCATAAGACTGCATCTAATAACAGGATGTGGTTTCTTCTTGGTTTTTCCTTGTACTTCCTTATATGTTCATAGTAATGTGAACAATAATCTTAATATGCATATACATACAACAAAATTATATACTTGTATTAACATACTATATGTAGACATGTGTGTGCATTTACAGAACAATACAGTACATGAACATGTTTTATGTAAATACAAACTTAAATTTTTGTGCACGATTAGTAATATAAATGTAATAAGTAATATATACACAAACCGGCCACTTTATTAGGTACACCTTACTAGTACCGGGTTGGACCATCTTTTGCCTCGGAACTACCTTAATCATAGGGTACTGAAAATATTCCTCAGAGATTTTGGTCTATACTGACATGATAGCATCACGCAGTTGCTGCAGATTTGTCGACTGCATTTCCATGATGCGAATCTCCCGTTCTACCACATCACAAAGGTGCTTTACTGAATTGAAAACTGGTGACTGTGGAGCCCATTTTAGTACAACTCATTGTCATGTTCAAGAAACTAGTCTGAGATGATTCACGCTTTATGATGTGTTATGCTGCTGGAAGTAGCCATTAGAAGATAGGTACACTGGTTATTAAAGGATGCACATAATCAGCAACAATACTCAGCAACAATACTCAGATCATCTTGACCATGTCTACATGCCTAAATGCATTGAGTTACTGCCATGTGATTGGCTAATTAGTAATTTGTGTTAACGAGCAGGTGATGCAGTGGCGCAGTAGGTAATGCTGTCGCCACACAGCCAGAAGGTCGCTGGTTTGAGCCTCGGCTGGGTCAGTTGGTATTTCTGAATTTGCGTGGGTTTCCTCCGGGTGCTCCGGTTTCCCCCAAAGTGCAAAGACATGCGGTAGAGGTGAATTGGGTAAGCTAAATTGTCCATAGTGTATGAGTGTGAATGAGTGTGTATGGATGTTTCCCATAGATGGGTTGCAGCTAGAAGTAAAACATGTGCTGGATAAGTTGGTGAGTCATTCCGCTGTGGTGACCCCGGATTAATAAAGGGACTAAGCCGAAAAGAAAATGAATGAATGTTAACGAGCAATTGGACAGGTGTACCTAATAAAGTGGCCAGTGAGTGTATATAAAAAATATACAATTTAGGCTGTGCAGGCTTTGAGATAATGAAGCAAGATTACACTGTCTACATTAAAGTCTCCTGTAAAGTTTTTGTTTTTTGTTACCTACAATTTTCCTTCATTAGAAAATTTGATGAAAAAATTACTGTTGCCTCAATAATTAACTCTGAAGAACAAATAAAAAATTAAGTCTAAAATTGAAATATCTGAAATTGTAATGACTGCTAAAACACAAATGAAAAATAAATAACAATAATTAAATAAATAAAACAAAGAACACTTCAATAACACAACAAATGCTAACAGTCTAGCTAGACCAACTAAAGTCAAACTAACCTTCAAAAAGTAACAGTTCTTAGAAGTTACAGTTTTGAGTAGGGTAGTCTCAACCTACATTTTTTTTTTTTTTGTTAATATTCTGTGTTGCTCTGAAATGTCTGGAAAAAAAAACTGACTTAATTCAATAGCAGTATTTAACTACTTCTATAAATAATGATTAAGTTACATTTTCAATAAAAACATGTTTAAAGTTCAAGGGTAGAGAGGGCTTCATGGCATCAGTAAAGACAAGGGCTGCACAATACATCTAAAAATGATCATTATCACGATAATAGTATATGTAATATTCATATTGCAGAGGTGTAGTAAATTACTTTTTTGAACCGAAATTAAAATTCTGGGCTGAAAATTCCGGATGCACTTGCATTAAAACAAAAAACAAAAACAATTATTTGAAATAAATATCTATATTTCTTTTGCAAAACACAAGCCAATAAAATAACCACATTTTATTGATAATAAACAACATTTTTGTTTATTATAGGACAGTGTATAGACCGGAATACCCTGGGATTAGGAAAGGTTCGCATATGTGCCTAAAGCACAATGGCATTTTATGTCGTTTTTTTTAGTATGATTGTTGGATTTTTTTTAAATTATATAAAAATTGTTTTTCTCTAGGGAAATGTTATAATGCAGAAATTTTGCCATTTCAATACTCTACAGCAATAATATATTGCATATTTTCACAGTGTCGTGCAGCCCTAGTAAACAGAGAGACAAACCTCCTCATCTCTCACTGTGGTCGCCAGAAATAACCTCACAATAGGAGAGGAGACGACACAAGAGGGAAGAAAAGAGTACAGCAAATGACCTGACTGACTGACTGACTGTTACTAAATCTGTCTCTCCTTGCCAGCAGACACCACAGGAAGTCTGCATCAGTGGCTCTTGCTCATGGCCATGCAGAGCAAGCAGTGAAAGCCTTCCCAATGCGCGTGCAGAAAACACGCAATAGTGACAAATCAGCATGAAGGACAGAATAAAGCTCTGAACAGCACAAAAGTAAAGCAAAACAATCTTACAGTATAATAGGGGTGATGGTGAGAAACTTTCGGGAGGCGGTGAACTGGACACCATAGTCCATCTGTTCCCAGTGTGTCAGAAGCCGGGCCTTGCCTTGGTCCGGAGTCTCAAACGGCGTCCCTTTCACCGTGTGGAGGAAGATATACATGCACTATGGCAGAAAGAGAAATCACAGAACATCATGACCTTTGGCACAATTCTTCAAAGCTCTATCAGTAGATGTTGTGAAACTCTTAGGACAACAGCATGAGCTGATCTGTTTTTGGAGCAGGACGACTAAGAAAGGCGATACAGGATGGCTCTGTAAGTCCAACACTGGCTGAAATTACAGAAGCTGGAGTCAGCAACTCAATGGGCCAAAATTCAGCAAAAAAGATTTTGCTGTTTCAGAGACCCTGCGGCTGGGGACAAAAATTATTTTAAGCCTTGGTATCTTGTGAAACTGTGTATATTTAAACGTTGAAACTAACTCATTGGTTCGCCATTGGCAGATACTGACAAGAAAATGGGTCACAAGTCTGCTACAAGTCTCCGAAAGCAGGAAATAACAACGTTACTAACTACTTTAATTAAGGCCTGTTCACACTAACAGCAGTACTTATAAAGATACATGACTAAAAACAACAACTACAATAACATCCACGCCAACATATTATAACATTACATTGATAATTTAGCTTTGTCCTATGTCACTTGAAATGCTTGAGCTCTGTAAAGTTTGTTAGCTGAAAAGAAAATAATCCGAACATGACTATTCTTACAGAATTGGAAGGATTATTAAAACATTACAGTTTTATAAAGTAGACAGATGCCAACACAGTCAATTTGTTTCCTTGCAAACAGACTCTGTCTTACAGAAGTGCTAGAAGGAGCTAAGCACCTCCAGTTGAGGCTGTAATTATAGAATATTGGTGAGATTTGGCAAATGTTCTGGTGTGTATTTGTGCTTTCACACTGAAAAGTGTCAACGGTTTCTATTTATGACATGTTTTTATGACATGTCTACCACTGATATTTCTACCAATCTCTGAAATCCAAGTGCTAAAAACATGTTTTTGTACAGTGTTGAGCTCCGTATATCACAAATGCTCTCATTTTACCAACAAAGTATGTTCACAACCAGTCAAAAGTTTGGGGTCAGTTTTTTTTTTTCCCGAAACATTGTTACAAAAAATACAAAATTAATTCTGTTTATCAAGGCGACATTTATTAAATATAAAAAGTTAAATTGTTAAATATCTATTAAAATGTTAAATAACTGCTTTCGTATAGTATGTACTGTAATTTTAAATGGAACTATTACTCCAGGCATTATTGCTTTTATTACTATTTCCATTATTATTATTAATAATAATAATAATAATAATAATAACTAATATTAGAGTGATTTCTGAAGGATCATGCGACTCTGAAGACTAGAGTAATGAACTTGAAAATCAATTTTAAAATCACTGGAATAATTTATTAAATTAAATTATAAACTACTTTTGAACAGTCATTTTATAGTGCAATAACATTTGACAATTTTACAATCTGTACTGTATTTTTGATGAAATCAATCAAGTCTTAGTGACTCACTGCAACATACTGAAGTGAGTGACGGCTTTTAAGTGATATTCAAGAGAGAACATTTCCTAATTTTTATACTGTATACAATCCATTTGAGTTGGAACAAAATGTGTGTTTTGAGATCCGCTAAGAGGACCATGTGCCATGTACTGTACACATTGCACATTTTAAAAGTGACATGCTCAAAGTAATGCAGAAAGGAACTGCAGTGACTGACAGTGATAACCACAGCAATACATGGGAGAAAAATGTCATGTCAAAATGACAAGACAGAAGCACATACAGTGATATTATTTTAGAAACTAGGTCTCCTTGCAAACTTGGTGCATATTGACTTTTTTTATAATGATGACTTTTGCTTCAATTTAGAAGTGACAGAGCATTTGAATAGTACTGAATGCTGCAAACCTTATCAAATTAAGATTGCATTTGTGTGATAGTTGTGTGCAATACATACATTTTTAAAACATTGCAATAATATAAAAACATTTTGCTATGTCATTACAGGACAGGAGCATGTGCTGTTCAGGACTAAACACTGAGGCAATGGATTAAAAGTAATGTTGTAAATATTAATAAATTTCTCGCACACACTGATTATTTTGCTTCTTAAAAAGATTGTTCACCCAAAAATGAAAATTTATTCACCACTTACTCTCCCTCAGATGGCTCCAAACACTTTTCTGTTGAACAAAAAATATGTTATTTTGAAAAATGTTAGAAACCTGTAACCATCTTCCAAAGTAGGAAAAAATAAATACTATGGAAGTGAATGGTTACAGATTTCCAGCATTCTACAAAATATTTTGTTCAAAAGAAAAAATAAATAAATAAAACAAGTCTGGGTCATGTGGAGCTTGAGTAAATTCAATTTTGGTGTGAACTATCCTTTTAAAGCCTCATCAGGAGCCACAGCAATTTTGGCTCATCTGTATGTGTTTCTGACTCTCTACTAGTCCCAGTAGCTATTTACATGCATTTTGCAGATCATTAAAACCATGGTTTCAATTAAAAACATATTCTTAATGTTCTGCAACAGAACAAAGTCTCATACATGTTTGTTGGCTTGAGGTTCTATAAATTAAAGGGACAGTTCATCCCAAAACTGAAAATTTACTCACCATTTACTCACCCCCAAGTGGTTCCAAACTTTTAAGAGTTCCTTTATTCTGTTAAACACACACACACACATAAGATATTTCATTCATTCATTTTTTTTCTGCTTAGTCCTTTTATTAATCTGGGGTCGCCACAACGGAATGAACCGCCAACTTATCCAGCATATATGTTTGTTTTACACAACAGATGCCCTTCCAGCTGCAGTCCATCACTGAGAAACATTCATACACATTCACACACATACACTACGGACAATTTAGCTTACCCAATCACCTTAAACCACATTTTTGATCTTGTGGGAGAACCGGAGCACCCGGAGAAAACCCACGCCAACTCAGGGAGAACATGCAAACCTCACACACAAGTGCCAACTGACCCAGCCGAGGCCTGAACCAGCGACCTTCTTGCTGTGAGTCGATTGAGCTACAAGATATTTCAAAGAAAGCTAAAAAACGATAACCACTGACAATCATAGTAGTAAAAACAAATACTACAGAACTCAATGCTTACCGCTTAAGCTTTCTTTAAAACATCTTCCCTCATATTTAACAGAATAAAGTCATTAACAAGTAAACAGTGAGTAAATGAAGAGAAAATTTTTATTTTTGGAAACATTCCTGTTGTTAATTTTTCATTGTGTGTTTGTCTGTATGCTATTGAGAAACACTTTTATGACTTTTTTATGACAAACAATTGTGAAACTACTTTGATCACCACTTAGCAGAACAACCAGTGACCCAAACAAAAATAAACATCAATAGCAGTCTACATAACATGATCATAATGCTTGTTCTCGACATTTCTTACCATGTTGTGAATGAGGTTGGTGAGTGTCCAGACCACAGGCACACTGACGAAGGGTATGCTGAGCAATATGATGTGTAGCAGACCGATGCCCAGCACATAGGAGAGCCAAATCCCCCTGCTGTTCATCACGCGTGTGTTCGGGTTTACTTCGCTATGCGCCGTGCCCACGTTCATCCTTACTCACTACTATTGCGCACTTACTGTCAAACACAAAAAAACACGTGAAAATCACATTTACTTCACTGACGTTTACAAGCACTGACTGTAACAAGTCATACAACAAAAATGCCACAAATCACCATCAGCATGCAAACTAGAGAAACACAACGCAACTTCTGAAAGTGTCAAGCATTGATGTTATTTAAAATGATGAGTGGGGCTAAGAACGAGTCACTTACTGTTCAAAATTGCGCAAGAGTCTTCACTAATCAGACAGAAAGTTGACAATAACTCCTTAGGAAGGAAATTACAACCTTAGTTCTCGCCCCCGTTGTAATTTCGTAAACGTTATCAGGATATCGTCCGCTCTGGAGCCTTTATGCAGTGTAGCCTTGCGGTTTTGCGCCCACGACACTTGACACGTCTGTTTATTTCATGATGTTTGCTTTCAAGCACTTTGTTCCCGTGCAAACAGATGGTGACAACACAGCAAGACTTCATCGTTTCACGTCATCATTTTTCAGAACTCACCTTTAGAAGGATGGAAATGTATTCATCGGGGTATCCGCTGATTGGACGGTGTGGCTCACGTGGAGGGTGTAGGCCAATCAGCGGTCGATGCGTTGATAATTTGCTGAAAAGTCGCACGCCCCCCCTTCACGTCACAGAAAGTGCTAGTGAGGAGAGATTAGGCAATTATGCAAAAATACTGAGATTTATGGGTATGGTAGTTTATTTAAACGAAATATTGCACATAACGAATTAGCCATGATTGTTTTGTAATAAGAAAGTCAACGGTGACACAATTTCACAAGAACACTGGATACAACAAAATGTATTCATTGCATTAAAGGAGTTGTGCATCTTAAAATGAATAATCATAATTCAGTCATCATTTAGATACTCTCCCTTGTGTGGTTAAAACTGTATGACTTATTTTCTTCTGTGGAACCAAAAAAGAGAAGCTTAGCAGAATATTAGTGATTAATATTCACAGTCACCATTCACTTTAATTTCATGAGAGCAAATGTAATGCCACTGAAAGGTGACTAATGCAAAGTCCTTAACATTCTTCTCACTTTCTCTATTTGTGTTACACAGAAAAAGAAGAAAACTATCATTAATAGCATAACCTATATTTTATTATCAAAGACTTTTGAGAATTTAAAAAAGTCAGTTCAATAGAGTGAAAAGCTCTAAACTAAAATATGTCATGCTGAACAGCTTTCTCCCCAGTGTGGTCTGAAAATTGTAATAATGTGGGCATTTAATCGTCCTCTGACACAATTTCGTTGTTTGCTTTTGGGTTTTTTTTTTTTTTTGTTCTTCCTAAGATTTCTTCTTTTTGGAAGTGACTTGGAAAAGTACTGTCCCAAAATATTCTTAAAGTTTCTCAAAATAAAATATACTGTTCAAAGAGGAAAAAAAATTTTGTTTGTTACAATATTAGTATTATAAAACCGTGATAATTTTATCCAAGGTTATCATATACTGTCAGAATCTTATACTGACCCGAGCCTACTCAGTGGTTAGCACTGTTGCCTCACAGCAAGAGTCCCAGCAGGGTCAGTTGGCGTTTCTGTGTGGAGTGGAGTTTGCATGTTTTCCCCGTGTTGACGTGGATTTCCTCTAGGTGCTCCATTTCCCTTACAGTCCAAAGACATGCGCTATAGGTGAGTTGGGTAGGCTAAATCGTCCGTAGTGTATGTGTGTGCTTGTAAGTGTGTATGGGTATTTCCTAGTACTGGGTTACAGCTGGAAGGGCATCCGCTGTGTAAAATATATGCTGGATAAGTTTGCAGTTCATTCTGCTGTGGGGACCTTTGATGAATAAAGAGACTAAGCTGAAGGAAAATGGATGAATGAATGAATTTTGTTAATTATTACTCTAAATTAAAAATTGACTACAAAAATGAATTACTGACAATCTAAAGACAACTCTGCGTCTATGTATAATGTTATTATATATGCATAATAAATACGTATTATGTATAAAATGTATAAATGTGCAAATATGTGCATGTGTGGTTATGTTTAAAATCAATTAATATAAATAAATTTTTTATTCTTTTTGAAATATTTCCAAAGTGTAATGTAATGTGTATTTATAGCGCACTTATTTTGTATGGCCAAACACCCAATGCGCTTCACAATCATGAGGGGGGTCTTTCCACACCACCACCAGTGTGCAGTATCTTCATGGATGATGCAATGGGAGCCACAGGACAACAGCGCCAGTGTGCTCACCACACACCAGCTATTGGTGGAGTGGAGAGACAGTGATAGAGCCAGTTCGGTGGATGGGGATGATTGGGAGGCCTTGATCGTAAGGACCGATTGAGGGACTTTGACCAGGACACTGGGGTTACAACCCTGCTTAGCTTTTTACGAGAAGTGCCATGGGATTTTTGGTGACCACAGAGAGTCAGGACCTCGGTTGAACGTCTCATCCGAAAGACGGCACCCACTGACTGAGTAGTGTCCCTTTCACTTTTACTGGGGCATTAGGACTCACACAGACCACAGGTTGAGTGCCCCCTGTTGGCCTCACTAACACCACTTCCAACAGCAACCTAGTTTCCCATGTGGTTCTCCCATCCAGGGACCGGCTCAGTCCTCCTTAGCTTCAGTGAGGAACCAGTTTTGGGCTGCAGGGTGATATGGCTGATGTGATGTTAAACAGAACAATGAAGTTTTTCACAGTATTTCCTTATTTTCTTTTGGAGAATATTGTATTTCTTTTACTTTTGCTAAAATAAAATGTAATGTTCATTCATTCTTTTTTTTTTCAGCTTAGTCCCTTTTTTAATCTGGGTTCACCACAGCGGAATGAACTTTCAACTTATCCAGCATATGTTTGATGAGCTCATGCCCTTCCAGCTGCAACCCATCTCTGAAAAACAACCATAAACACTAGTACACTATGGACAATTTAGCCTACCCAATTCACCTGTATAGCATATCTTTGGACTGTGGGGAAAACTGATGGACACGGAGGAAACCCACGCGAGCGCAGGGAGAACATGCAAACTCCAAACAGAAACGCCAACTGACCCAGCAGAGGCTCGATCCAGCGACCTTCTTGCAGTGAGGCGACAGCACTACCTACTGCACCACTGTGTCACCGTAAAATGTGATGTTTGTAATCATAGGCGCTGCTAGGGGTGGCGGGGTGATGGTGAAGTTAGGACGATTCTAAGGGCCCCAGAGACATTATCAAGGGCCCGTGCAACTGGGAAAAAAACACTTCAAAGATTAGAAAAACAAATAAAATATAAACTATATGAATTTCTTTTGTCCATTGCTAGATATTAAAAATATATATATATATATATATATATATATATATATATATATATATATTGTAGCGAGGCAGAGGGAAAACAGCGGCACAACAGGATGAGTTTACAGACAAGTCCCCGGAGGGTGCTTTATTTACAAAAGTGAATGTGCTGTAAGAGGTGCTCTTCTTTAGGGTGAGGTGCTCTGGTGCTCCGGGAAGTAGGTGAAGGACGGTGAGTAGTCGGGTGCAGGATCGTCACTAGCTGGAGTCCGCTAAGGAGAGACAAAGAGACAAGCATTAGCACAGGGAGTCATAGAAGGAATGAAGCTCATCTTCTCCTGGCGTAGGTTGGGCTTATATGTCTCTCCGCTTGATGAGCTCCAGCTGTGTACGATCCTGGCTTGATGAAGGTCCAGCTGGGTGAAATTTGCGACCAGGGCGACGTGGCATATAATTGCTCGTTACATTCCCCCCCCCTTAGCGTCGTCCTGGTCCTGGGTGTCCTGCGGAGAAAAGGTAGAATATTGTGAGGGGGGGTAGAATGGTTTGACAGACCTGCCCATCCTGACCATAGCCTTGAGAGCCCGTCGGCGTTTCCGTGGGAGGCCCCGGCTCGATGTTGTACCGTGAAGTTATAATCCTGGAGCGACAGGAACCATCTGGTGACTCGAGCGTTGTTATTTTTCGCCGTTGACATCCATTGAAGTGGAGCGTGGTCGGTCACCAGGGTGAATCTTCTTCCAAGGAGATAATATCTGAGCTCCAGGATTGCCCACTTGATCGCCAGGGCCTCTTTCTCCACCGTGGCGTACCGGGTCTCTGCAGGGGTAAGCTTCCGACTCACGTACATGATGGGGTGTTCTTCATCGCCGTGGACCTGGGAGAGGACCGCGCCCAGGCCCGAGTCGGAAGCGTCTGTTTGTAGGATGAAGGGGCAGCCGAAATCAGGTGCGTGCAGTACCGGAGAAGATGTTAGTGCCGTCTTCAGGGCTTGGAACGCGCCATCTGCTTCCCTGTTCCATTGTATCTTCTCTGGCTGCCCCTTTCTGGTCAGGTCTGTCAACGGGCTGGCTATGGATGAGAAATTGGGAATGAAACATCTATAGTAGCCCGCTAACCCCAGAAATGCACGTACCTGGGTCTTTGTGGTGGGTTGTGGAGTTTCTTGTAGTGCTCTGATCTTGTTCTGTTGTGGCTGTATGAGACCTCTACCGATGTGGAAACCGAGGTATTTTGCTTCTGCTAGACCCAGGTGGCATTTCTTGGGATTAGCTGTGAGCCCAGCCCTACGAAGATCAAGGAGCACCCTCCGCAACCGGGATAGATGTTCTTCCCATGACTCGGAGTGGACGATTAGGTCGTCGAGGTATGCTGCTGCATACGGCTGGTGGGGTCTCAGCAGGATGTCCATCATACGCTGGAATGTTGCTGGAGCCCCGTGGAGCCCGAAGGGAAGAACCCGGTATTGCCAGTGCCCACCGGGAGTGGAGAAGGCGGTTTTCTCCTTGGCGCTTTCACTTAGTGGTAGTTGCCAGTAGCCTTTGGTGAGATCGATCGTGGATATGAATCGGGCTCCACCCAGCCGATCCAGCAGCTCGTCCACCCGAGGCATGGGGTACCCGTCGAATTTGGAAATTTCGTTCAGCTTCCTGAAGTCATTGCAGAAGCGGAGGGTGCCGTCGGGTTTGGGAACCATCACTATGGGGCTGGACCACGGGCTACGAGATGGTTCGATGATTCCCAATTTCCTCATCTTTTGGATCTCATCGTTGATAGCCAGCCGGCGAGCTTCTGGTACTCGATAAGGCCTCTGCCGGACGATGGTGCCAGGTGGGGTGATGATGTCGTGCTGGATGATGGTGGTTCGGCCCGGTTTCTCTGAGAACACATCCCTGAACTGACCGACCAAGGCTTGCAGCTCCGCCTTCTGATTCGGTGAGAGTTGCTCACCTATATGGACAACGGGAGAAGTTTCTTCTGAGAAGGCAACTAGATGACCTGGAGCTGCAACCCATTTCTTCATCAAATTGATGTGGTAAAGTTGTTCTTCTCTTCTTCGTCCCGGCTGACGGACTCGATAGTTTACCGGCCCTACCCTTTCTACCACTGTATATGGCCCCTTCCAAGAGGCCAAGAACTTCGATGTGGTGGTAGGTATCAGGATCATTACTTTGTCCCCTGGTTGGAACTCTCTGGGTTGGGCGGGCCGGTTATATAATCGCTGTTGGGCGCGCTGGG